ATCGAAATTTGTTGCATTAAAATTCTAATTAAATGCTCGATAATTTTTAGCAACTGATACATAAACTGCTACATCGATAATTATATATNAAAAAATACAAACGGCTGATTGGCCGAACTTTTTCTCCTGCTTGTGGTGTGTACCTAGATGCTTCAAATTCCTTCCGATGGGCACCCGCTGCATAAAAAGAAATCCTTTTCAGTCATTATAGGATGTTTCAAGAATTAGGCATCTTTTCTGGGTCCTTTCAAGTTATTAGTATATACAAATCCGCCGCCAACATCGAAAACTATTTAGATAAAAAGTGAGAAACAGAAAACAGCTGATATTTTCGCCAAGAAAGCACAATTCTTGCAATGGATCACGAAAAAAAAAATTATTTAAAAATTTATTAAAATTCATTGCCACTAAATGTAGCCTGTTGAATTTTTGAAAACTGATTTTGTAATCAGCGACTAAAAGTTTGGAGTTAAACTTCACAAAAATCTGAAATTTTTTTAAAAATCCTTTCGCCGTATTGAATTCGCCATTTTAAATTTTTGAAAACTGATTCTAAATTTCATAGAAATCTGAACATTTTTGAAATACCCACCAATTTGAATGTTTCAAAACTGTTTTAGATTTTTATAATAGCAGCAACCCCGAAAACCCTTGGATACGAAATTTAATAAATACGAATAAAATAAAGTTTATAACATCACAAGTTATCCTATAGGAACCCTAGATGACGAACCCTAAATGACTTGATCTTTAAAAATGGCAAAACACGGTTACTTTATACAAATGCTTGATTTTTTTTTATGGATGCCAAAAAAGTTTCATTTTGTTGGACGGCTGCTGTACATGGCGTATGAGTAACATTATTTCCTGCTAATTTTTCGTGCAAAAAATCTTTGCCTATTAGTAGCTTGATTTTTCTGTGACAGAACAGGGCTTAACACAAATAAAAAAAATGTACACAAAAACTGTTTTTTTATCATTTTTTCCGGTTGAAGTTTGAATTTTTTCTTCTCATTTTTACATCAAAAACGAAAAAAATCGAATCGAAATATCTCGAAAACGTATCCATAGAACAAAAAATTAGCACAATTTTTGGAATTAGCGAGCAGTTCTACATAGAAATTGGATAGTGGCATCCATGGAATATTTTTGCTGGAAACCAGTGTAATCAGCGTTTGCGCTGCTGAGATAAGCGAAAAAATGTTTCGCAAGAAAATACTTTGTGGCAATCTAGATTTTTTGGGAAAAATAAAAATAATAAACTTGTGACACTGAAGAGACCAAATAATTTGGGAAAAATCAAGTCAGCTAATCTACTCATATTACCCGTCCAATATGCCTTGATGCATATATAAGAGAACTTAAGACATATGAAACAGGTAGTAGCAATATGGCAAAAACAACATTTACGTGTAATAAACAAAAATATAAAAAAAATTAAAAGAAATTTTGAATAACAAAATAGAAAAAGCTGAAAATTGAACTCTTTTCCCCTTATATCGGAGTTCCCTTTAAAAAAAGTGCACATTTACTAATTTTTACTTCACCGTCGACTTTATGATTTCAGTAATTAAAAATATTTTAGTCCCTTTTAATACTTTTCTTATAATGTCATAAATCAAATAAATCAATTTATCTTTATTTCACACTAAGTACATAACTCACTTCTTCTCAGTCCACCCACATTCGGCCAAGAGCCACTCAGAAATATTGCACGCTCGTGATCCACTTGAGTGGAATAATTTCTTATCTTCTATTTACTTACCTAGCAGTGGCATGACGGCACGGCTTTCAACCAGCTGGAACCTATTCAATTTTATTAAATCATTTGTTTTGTCAACAACAGCAGAAATTTCCAACATATTGGGCGCACAGAGATTTATGCATTTCAAATTGGTCGAGTTTGCTACTTCTTATACTCCCTACATACATATAATTCTTATATGATTAGTCTGCAGGTTGCTCTGCAGGTTGGCTTTTCGGTGCTTAATCTTTGCTACACAAATTTACCGCCTGTTCGAGTGTCAAACTAAAGATGATAAATTGTTTCCGACAAAGGGAAATCGCTTGTTTTACTAATGATAAAGCATTGACTTAGGCTGAGAGGTTAGAGAACTAAAGATGTTTTTGTTACCCTGATTGGACTGGCTAGTTTTTGTGTAGGAATATGTGTGATTGGTTAAGAGGATAATTTCTATGCGTATCAGCTGGAAGTGAAATGCTACAAGAAAAATATTTTCAAATTTCCATGGCACAAATATTTATTAGTAAACCAGCCAAAAGTCTGACATATGTATTTGAATGCCAACTTATAAGTGACAGACTATGGACTAAATATCACATAATATTTAAAAGCAATGGATTGGGCTGGATCTGTGGAGACCAGTGGAATAATCCACCCAGTATTGCAAAGAAAAAATTCATTTTATAATTAAACTCAAAGGTTTATGCGGTTTATGTAGAAAATGCCTCTTTGGGCGCCTAAACAGGAGATTTCTTCAACGAATTTGTTCAAAGGCTATTAATCATTTTATTTCAGATCTAAAGCGTAACTTGACTAAAATGAAATGGCTCCTGCTTAAGGCGTCTTTTGCTTGGCATCGAAACTACTAAACTTTTCATATTTTGATTGTTTACCTAAAGGAAACAAATCATTTGGCCTCAGAATTCGCTGCCCTTCAAATATCCAACACTTTGAGTATTTCCTTTCAATAAAATTAGAATATACTCGTATTAAGATTATTAGTATTGGTTTAGGGTTAAAAAAAATCTATTTGTTATTGCTCAACTTATCATCAAAGACGATCTAAGGAAACCAAAATTTGTAAAACGAAATAAGTACATTTAAGAATATAAAGTAAAGTAAAAAAACACTAAACTAGCCTGTTGAAATTAATAAAATTTGGTTTCTTCAGTATTTAATCGATTGAAATAACCGAAATATTACTTTAAAAAATATTTTAGACAAGAATCAGATTTTAATTTATTTATTCCAAAAAAAGTAGAGCTAAGTAATTTGTTTTTGGTTTTTCAGTTCAATTAATAGAAAGACTTTTAGAAATTAGAAATCAGCTTAAATTTCGGTAAAAGATGGATTTGACGAGTTATATATCTCCTGCCAATAAGTAGCTTCAGTCTCAAAGGCTTATTTTAAAATCGATTTGGACTTTAAACCTCTCCTTTTTTTGATCCATATTTATATAATCCAAGTCTGTCTACATACATATTAAGGCACTCAACATGGAGTTTGCCAAATTTCTTGCTGGGCATTAATGTAAATACTTGTATGTTTGTATATGCAACCATTTGTGTCTAAATAAATTTCAAATGAATATTTGTGTATATGGGCGTCGGTCGGTACACATCTGTTGCAGTCCCTTAGTGGATATAAAATAATACTAATATTTGCGTCTCCTAAAATGTGTAGATATGTGGTTTCTTATTTGGTGTAAGCACTTTCATTTCAGTAAATATATTTACATGCATACATATACGAATATGCAAACACACACACTTTTTTCAGCTCTAAAATGGCATCTAAAGTAATGTTTTATTAGCAAGGAGAAACAGCTAAATATTCGCCTGGTGTATGCTTACGCATTTACTTAAGCAAACATGCACATGTGAAATGATTTTGTTACCCATTCTCGATTTTCAGCTGCTCCTGTTACAAAGCCAAATAAGACACATATTTACTAAATGTTGTGTGCTTTTTCTTCCTTAGCATTACCTGATTTTGTGGAATTGGTTTCTGTTAGCTTTGCCAAATTGCGTTCACATTTTATTTGTGGTCTTATTGGCTTTTAAGGTGTCCATTGGAACACTAAGAAAATTTCAATGGCCTTAAATTTGTCTGGTAACCTCATTTAATATTGTGTGTCTAGAGTTTATTATACATACAGATAAAATCATTTAATATTTTATGAACCATTCCACTGCATTAAGTTAGCTCTAAATAAAAGGTAAGAGCGTACTTTAATGAAAAACGACAATGTATAAGAACTTTTAATCAATACTAACAAAAATATATTTGAATAAGGTAAACTTTGTAAAATACCTATAACTGATTCTGCTGGTTTGAATTCATTTGGCGCTTCTAAACTCTATAAAAATCCCTAAAGATTCCAAATTTTTAAACTTCAGTAAGGTATAACGAATTCAGAACATCGTAGTCTATCTAAGGTATCCAAGGCTGAAACTTTTAAGTCTAATCCATATGCTAATGTCTCAAATCTCATTCTGAAGTAAGGATCTGGAGTCTATACGAATTTTGTGTTATAATTTTTTTTAATTATTTTTCTTGTTATTTTTTATTAATTAAGTGGATTTAAAAAGCTTTCTAAACAGCCGTTTTCAGTAAAATTTTCGACATATGAAGCCTTTAAAGTCCTGTACATTTTTTATAAATTTAATTGTTTCTCTGTTGCCTTAACCAAAAATCCATGGTTATTTTATTTTTTGATAATTTTAAAACCTAACTCCTTTTTTTTCTTTACAGATCAGACATTTGCTGAGCTAAAACTGCTGATTAGTTGAATCGAGTAAAAATAATGGCGCACGAGTCATACGCATTACTTATTCGGTAGTGATTTTTATCAAATTTTTATAACAACAACAAAAACTAACATAAATATTATAATACGCGAATACTACATTTCATGAACTGAAACACTCGCTGCAAAGCCTACGTAAACGAAATATATTAGCATACTTTTTAAATTTAAATAAATTCCCTATGCGTTTCGGGATTGAAAACTTTGCGAGTTAGACAAAATGCGCATTTGTAACGGGCGACAACAAGTTCAGCGCCAAAGCGCTCTGCAGTCTTGCTCTAGTGAACTACAGTTGAACAAAGCGTTTTGCTGCGGCTCGCTTAGTTGCGCTCGGCAATAACGCACGGAGGAGCAATATACCACTCACATTGCCACATTCACACCTACACGGCCAGCGCACGCACACATGCATTCGAATAACACAAACAAATGCATTCTCTTCGCTCAGCCTAAGTACTAAGTGAGCTGTACCCCACGAAAAGCAGACAAGCGAAAGCGGAAGGGAAGCAACAGTTAAAGCCACAGCGCGTCTAAAAGCCGGCTACACTACAAAGTTTATTGGCATAAAAAATCAAAACAGCAGAAAAACCACAAACACCGTTAAATAGGGTAAACCGTGAGGAAAAGAGAGCAGAACTAAAGTGTGGTAAACAACTTTGAAAAAATCGAAGAAAAAGAGGAGAGAGGAAGTAGAAAGGTGAGGTACACAGAGAATGCGTGCAAAAGGCAAGCAATTGAGGAAAACAGGCGAAAACACTCAAAGAGACGTTTAAGTGCAATAACAGTTGCAACAACAACAAAAAAAAACACTTGAACGATAACAAAACTGTAGCGGCGGGCGAAACTGCAACTGCAACATCAACAACACAGCCACAGCTACAACGGCAACATCATCCACAAAAAAAAAAANTAGAAAGAGCAGAGAGGAAGTAGAAAGGTGAGGTACACAGAGAATGCGTGCAAAAGGCAAGCAATTGAGGAAAACAGGCGAAAACACTCAAAGAGACGTTTAAGTGCAATAACAGTTGCAACAACAACAAAAAAAAACACTTGAACGATAACAAAACTGTAGCGGCGGGCGAAACTGCAACTGCAACATCAACAACACAGCCACAGCTACAACGGCAACATCATCCACAAAAAAAAAAAACACCAATACGAAGAGTAAGACTAGCAAAAAGGGTAGGCGCAGACAAGCAATCGAAAAAAGTGCAACCGACCGAGCAAAGCAAAAAAGGTGAAAAGTGGCGAGTGCTGAGTTCCGAGTGGTGGCGGATCGACACAGCTGGAAAGAAGAGTAATAGAAAAACATAAAGACCTTTTGTGGCAACTTGAGAACTTCTTCCTTCTTACGAATATCATCGCATTTCCATTCACAAAAAAAAAGGACAAACACACAACTTTAAGTGCAGCTTCAGTGCAAAGAATAGAAGCGAAGTTTGTTTTTTCAGTCTTAGAGTGCGACTGCGGGACTGCCAATAGAAGGACCTTGGCGTCAGCGGTGAAGAATATAATCGAATAAAATATTTCAAAAAAAAAACATAAAAAGGCAGCGAACAGCAGCTGGGAAGGGAGAACGACTGCAGCAAAACAAAAAAAAATCACTGTGCAGATAATCTTCAGGTGACTATAAAGGCACCACACAAATTTGATAATAGTGAGTGTGAATAAGTAGATATTGTGCTGCAGCATGCAACAAACGTTTGCCACTTACAATGGCATTTGTAGCCTGCAGGCATAAACCGCGCGCAAGTTGCTTAGCGTAGTCAGCCCACTAGCTTAACTCGTTCTATTAGATCATAACTCAATACGCACTAAATATTCGCAATAAATTTTAATGGTAAAAAACTTAAACTCTAAAAGCGCTTTCAAAGTTAATCGAAGCGAAGTCAAGTGAATAATAATTTCGGGTAATTTACATAAAACATTTTACGTGAAATTGTGCGCCAGGTCGTATACGCAACATAGAAGAAGTGCGCGTTGTACGGCAACTAACCGTTTCTCCTTAAACTCGGGACCATCGAGTGGTGCATTTAGTTTCGTTTACAGTTATCACTCATAGCCAACCAACAAAAATCCTTCAACGATTTTCAATTAAATTTAATTACTTTGTGTAAATTGGATTTCGTGTGCAGCAAATGCATTTGGTTGTGGCAATAATGCATTTCCTAAAAGCAAGCAGCTACCACACCGCTGCCATAACGCTTACTACCATCACGTGGCTGACGCTGGGTTTCGGATTATTAATCTCATTGCCAGGTGAGTTTGCAATTTTCAATTTTTAGAAAGGGGAAAGCTGATAGAACAATGCTCATTTAATAAAGATATATTTTTAATTGAACAAGCACACAAACACGCTACACAAATGCACACTGAGTTATTCAACATTAATTAATTAACAGCAAATTAAATGGAGCGAGTTAATATAGAATTTAATTATGCAATTTGATACCACATTTTTTACAGAAACGCAGATAGTGGTTGAAAGAGGTTCAAATATATTTTTTTAATTATATTATTTAATTCAGAAAACTTCCTCACATATTTACAACATTTTGTGGTATACAAGTAAATTTTAAAATATTTTTTCTCCATATTTAAAATATTTAATGTGCAAATATTTTATTGGAAGTATTGTTCACCGCTAGCTATGACTTTTTTCCACTTGTCTCGCAATGCATCGATTCCACGCCAATGAAACTGCTTGTCAATGTTATTGTGGCTTATTAACATTTTATTTTTAATATTTTTATTGAACTCTGTACCACGATTGTTTATTAGGAAGAATTGAAAAGGCAACAAAGTCTAAGCGGTAGAAATTATAGCAGAGCACTATTTCGGAGATCACCACATCTCCTCACCAGCCTTCTTTTTTCTTCCCTGCTGAAGTCTAGAAAATTTAATTCACATACTTTTACTCATCAATAAACCAGCTTCTTCTAAAAATGGAAATCAGCCAATATTTCTTCAACTCAGCGTATATGTACATTAGGGTGCATCACTCTCCATACAAAAAAAAAATGTCTTTTTTCCATTGGATTTAAGTATAAAATTTATAGCTGAAAATATTTACGTGAGCTGGAGGTATTTTCAACCTCAAAAATCGATTTTTTATAAATAAAATTTTGTTTTAAATAATTTTTTCTTAAATGATGATAGAAGAGTTACGGCATAAGAGGTTTGCATACAAAATTTTTAAAAATTTTATCAACGGATTCAAAGTATGTAATGAGATTTTTGCAGGTATTTTAAATCGGTCTAGCATTTAAATTTTAATATTTTTCCAAAATATTTCAGCGGCTGTCTTAAATTATAATAGATGTTATAATTCCGGCGGAAAACCGCTAGTTTTCTTGGTGATGCACTCTAATGTACATAAATACATATATTTTATCACAAGTAAACATAAATAGTTCAGTTAAAAGTATGTATGTATATCAACTGTAGACAACGTCAAATAAGAATATGATTAGTATTGCCCCAACTTCCGCACAATGTCAAGTAAATAGGCTGCGCCGGAAGAAGCAGCGAATGGCTACACATCTCCGCACTTTCAATATTCTTGTTCTTGTTCTTGGTAGCTATTTATGATTGTAACTTGGCGGGAAGACATTTAAATACGTCGTAAGTTTGCTCATTTGGTGCATAAAATGCAAATGCAGACAGGCAGACGACAGACTCAGCCTCAATGCCGCCAAAGCAACCGCTATTGACGCCCACGAAGAGCTTCATTTTTAACTGCATACAATGTGGAAATACAAATAAAGAAAAACGAAATGATGGAGATGTGGGATTTAGGTTTAGTTGCTTTTTGTGTTTGATTTCAAATCAGTTGCACACTCAGCAGCATTGAGATGGAATTTTTGCTTTTGCACTGCTAGAGATTTGATTTCACATAGACGGCTGCAAATACCACAAAATCCACCTGGGTTACGAGTACTCATGAAGCATCGCATTTTATATACCCTCTAAATAGATGTGGCCATGTGTGCCCATGTGTGCCTACGTACACCTAAAAAATGTGAATGTGTAAATACCGGAAATGTCCGTGATTTGATGGCTAAGGCTTTAATTGCCTTTGAGTTAAAGTTGAAAGCCAAAATTGGGAAAGATAAAGGTATGTAGGTGGAGTGTTAATTGGCAGTGAAAGTGTAACTAGGCAATGGAATTTTGCGGCTGATTCGAAATTGGCTTTTGTTTCAAAACCAAACTCTATTATTAGCAGCTCTTCCACACCTGCGGCTATGTATTTCGAGAAAATCGTGATTGCCAAAGGGAATGAATGTGAAACCAAAAACGATATCAAAAGCAGACAGCGGTAAGGAGCGAATGAGAATGGAGCACTACGTAGAAAACTGTTTATGTGCTTTTGTACATACATACATTACATTAGACTGCACCAGAAAAAAAATTTTGGCTGAACGTAGGAGTCGTCTTTTTGAATTTTTTCGTCATATATTCGGCATTTACAGTCGGATATTAGAGTATGGTATACATATCGATGATTTCGTCTCAAAGAAACACTTTTTTTATTAAGTAGTTCATGGATCTCAAATACTCCATTGTAGTACTTACTAAAAATACGCCAATCCAAAACAAACTTTAGTTGAACTCGTATGTTTTCTCAGTGCACTTTGCACCTAATGGAATATTATTAGCAAACGGAAGTAAGTATGTATCAGTGTATATAAGGGGATTTGTGCGACTTGCTACAACATCCGCTGTAGCTGTTTGTGAACTTCGTGCCACTAAAGATGGCACGGCATGTTGCCCTCCTATCGATTTCCACCCACAATCCGAGGAAAATCAAAACCTAACGAATCATTCCTCTTTGGTTTTCTTTTTTTGCTACTCCTGCTTTTCTGCACACCAATTTGCACTGCGTTAGTTTTGAATGGCTACGATGATGGTTCGGTAGATGCGACGCCATTTACTAGCGAATATTGTAACCTGAGGCAAAAGCCGAAAAAGCGGAATAACAAGCAGTCGGATGTAATAACTAAGAATAGTTCGCGCTGCTAAGAAAAAAAAAGGCATGCACTTTGGTAGACAGTGAGTTGAGTTTTCGGGGAGTGAGCGGGTGGCTTTCAGTATCCCATTTCTGTCAAAGTTTGTGCAAATATTCATGGAGAATGTGTGAATGCGGGGATTTGCACTCTGAATGAGTTTTCCGGCGCAGCAGACACTGCCACAGCATTTACACATCACTACGTAGGAAAATTTGCAAGGCAAAGGAAGCAATTAAGACTTTGCTAGTTGATAGCAACCGGGAGTTGCTGATTTTCATATGAATTGCCAAAAAAGAACGGAAGTAAATGTTATCACATTGTAAAGCAAATGCCATGCCAATAAAGATAAGTACATACTTTGCTTTTTTTCATTGCTTCATTTCTTCATTTCTTAATTCAAAGCACCCAAAACCAAATTAGCGTCTTCTAATCCACCATCTCCAGCGGGTTTCTGCCTTGCCGCAGCGCTTTATTATTTTAAACCACTCGACCGAAATTCGAAAACTTGTTTAATCCTTTAAATTTCATAATTGCTTTGCAACTGTTAACTGCGTAAGCGATGCGCACTCTAGGCTGCAGCAACTTTTCGAGGCGACGCGCCGCCTGCATTCGCTGGACGCGCAAAGGACACTGTGCATCAGTCAAATTACTGCGTGCCGGAATTGCGGCAAAGCGACTTTGTATTTATGCACATTTGTGTGTGTGTATGTGTAAGGGGCATAATGCCCACGCGCAACGTTGTCGCTGTTCCTTCTACTGGCATGGCCGCCATTTATTTATTATGCAAATTCAACGCGCCCAAAAAGCAGAACGTGCAGCCTTAGGCGCAAAATGACGGCGAACAAAAACCAAAAAGGCATAAAATGCAGAAAACGAGGAAACAGGCACAAAAAGCACGAAAGTGAGACAGCAATGCCGCCAGCCGAGATTTATGCGATTATGCAATGCCAAGCCAACAATTTGTGAATGGCGCAAGCGAAACCGGCAAATCCACGCGGACGCCTTGAATTCGCTTATGCAGAAGTGTAGATAAACGCGCTCAGCTGAAATTACGACAAACACAGAGCAACGCACTCGGTCACAGACACATACACACACACACATTTAGTACTTACATACATTTATGCGTTGAAAAAAATTCCACAAAAAGGTTATTACTGCCATAAAAGGGACGGAAGAGTAGATAGCCAGCTTTTAAACAAAACTAAGAGCAAAAGAAAGGCAGCAAAGGCATTTGCAGTTTGTATATGTTGATATGTGTGTGTGTATATATGCGAAAGGAGTATAATGAAATATGTTTGTTCATGCTCAGGCAGTGATGAGACCAAATTTAATTTAGCAAATGAGTAGGCAGCCTTAATGTAAATTAGTAAGATTGCAAGCTTTTGCGGGGATATGAGAGTGAGTGCAAGTTGAATGCAGCGGGCTTTTCGGTAGGAAATATCATTTAGTTTAAATTCTTGAAACGAGCTATCAAATTCACCACGGTATTGCCAAATTTACGTAATTAAACTTTTTTTTGATACTGCATTGCTAATCCTTTGTTAGCAAGAATTGTAGTAGAAAAAATTTATAATTGGATTTGCTATACATCAGCTTTTATAATACCTATTTAATAAGGCAGGAAGGTATTTCCACCAGTGCATCAACAGCAGCACTTCTGTTAGATCGATATCAGTTAACCCTCTGGTTGGCCTAAAGCTACCGAGGTTGTGTATACCGAACTTTTGGTGCTTTTTTTTGGTTGTTGGTCGCTTTAGGAAAATTTTAGGAATTTTAGCAAAAATTGTATTTATAATGAGTTTCTAATGAAGA